TTTATCAATGGTATTTAAAGATTTACTAATTTAAAATATGGCCGATAACATTGATGAATATATCAAATTTTAATTGCTATCTAAAACTATCGTATCATCCATCCAATTCAACTGATATTACAATTTGACAAATATTTTTGCTTCCACATTTTTATAATAAAAAATATCAATAAATAATAATAACAATAAATAATAATAAATGACATTAATAAATGATAACAATAAATGATGATAAATAGTAATAATGATAAGTAATAACAGTATTGATAACAACAGAAGCCTAAAATTTTCTTAAATGAAATTAATTTTTTTTGAGTTAAAAATGACTACTAAAAAATTTTAAAGAGTACAACAAATTCATAGATATATTACACAAATAATAATTTCAAAAATTTTCCTTCAAATAAACAAAAAGAGAAATGAAATGGAAAAACAAAACATATGCATATGTAAAATTAATGACTTCAACAATTATTTAATTTTTAGCAATATTGAAAAGCACCTGGACGGAATGGAATGAAATGGAATGAATGATTGGTGACATTCGAAATAATAGAAAGAGGACAGACGACAACATATTGTACAATTCATCGATCATATATACTTCTAATTTCTTTCTTTTCAAATTAATAATTTTTAGAAAAAGCTGGAAGCAAAAAAAAAAAAATAACACATTTCTTTGAATCAATCAATATTTTTTAGTAGGAAAATATTTCGTTTCATTTTTTAATTCAAATATTTCTTACTGAAATTAACGCTGGCAGCAAGGATAAAACATAATTTCATTATTAGCAAAATTATTTTTTTTTAATTAATTTATATTTTCAAATTTATCAAAACAAAAAACTTAACAATTATTTTTAATAAACAAAAAATTTAACAATTATTTTTAATAAACAAAAAATTTAGCAATTATTTTTAATAAACAAAAAATTTAGCAATTATTTTTAATAAATAAAAAATTTCGAAATTAAAACAGAAAGCAATCTTTTCTTCTTTTCTTCTCTTCTTTTTCCTTCCTATTTCTTTTATTTTTGTCAAATTTTTTATACTATTTTTTCTTTCTCTCTTTTTCTTTTTCTTCGATAAACAAATGGACATACAATGTTTATAAGGAAAATTTTAAAATTTAAAGAATATTATTATCAAAATTTATCAATGATAAAAATGTATTAAATTATTTTTGCAAAAATTACAAAACGAAAAAAATAAAATGGTTGGCAACAAAACAAAAAAAAAAAAAAAAAGAGGAAAGAGAGGGAAAAAAAAAAGTAAATGAAAGGTAATAAAATGTGACACAGGATGTGACAATTTAAAAGAGCCATTAACCTGTATCCCTCCAACCATATACATTTGCATATCCTTCCTATTAATTCAATACACTTTAACATTGTCCTCTCTCTCTCTCTCATTTATAGTATTTCCACTACAAAAAAAGAAGGACTATTTGAAATAAAATGGAACAAATAAGTTTACTTTGCTTATTTGTTAGTTTTCAATGAATAAAAGCTGTCAAAAAGAAATTTTAAAAAATGTGAAATTTAAATTATTTCGATTGCATTAATTTTTCTTTTGCTTTTCTTTCATTCTTTTCTAAAACAATATAAAAAAAAAACATTAATCTTTCTTTCTTTCTTTTTATCTTTATTATTTAATGTATAATATTTCAAAAATTATGGAAAAAATTTCATTTCAAATTGTTCATATCATTTCTTTTTCTCTTTTAATAAAAGTTATCATTTGATAAAAAAAAAAAAAAAAATGAACAATTACAAATGATATTAAAGAAAACAGGAAATCAATTTGTTGCAAATTAATTGATAATCTGATTAAAATAAAATTTGGATTAAATGGAAATAATCTGATAAGTGATATTATAAATTATCATTTCTGCCTCTTTATTTTTGCACGCTGATATTCTGAAATCTTCTTTTCACCCTATCATCAATTCTCCTTTCTACATATATGATCATGAAGAGAAAAAAAGAGAGAGATGTGTTGCAGAAAATAATCACAAAAATAATCATTCCTGATAATAATATAAATTAAGCATTTCGATCAAAGCATACATTTAATTATCTTTCATTTTAATTTTTCAACATGCAACACTTTTTGTAAATGATAGAAATTGAATTAAAAGACAGACACATACAATTAATGATCCATTTATGAAATATTAATTTAATCATAAATTTATCCTTAAAATGAATTATAATATCAAAATTATCAATTGATCCAATTCAATGAGAATAAATATTTTTAGCAGAGCACAATTTTTATTAAATTTCATATTTTGATTTAACCGAAAATCTAAAATTATAATAAACTAAATTAAATAAGCCGGATAATATAACTGCATTACGATGAAAAAGTAATCATAATTTTCAGGTGAGGAACGATTTGAAGATTGTAAGCTATTGTAAATTGATTCAAATGGTATTGCAATAATAGCAGCTGATATATGATTGAAGCATGAAAATGAAAGAAGAGGAAGAGGAGGAGGAGGAGGAGGAAGAGGAGGAAGAAGAATAGGAAGAAGATAAGAATGAGGAGGAGGAAGAGGAAGGTCAGAGAGGATGAAAAACGGTCGATGGATGATCGAATCGGTGTATCACAGCATAACACCTGCAATGAATGGTTGACAGGAGGCCGTTGAAGAGTGAAGTAAATAACAAAAAAAAGGGAAAGGTAAAGGAAAGGAAAGGAAATCGGTTAATGGTGGTTTTCTAGTGAAAACAAATAAATCCATGTCAGATATAAGATGTTTGTGTTAATTAAAGAAATAACAATGGCTACTACAGTGACCAATTACATCAACCAACTAGCCACTTGTTAATTAAATATGATGTATTGTGTATGTGTGTGTGATGCACTCAAGCATATTATACAAACCTATATTATACCTTTTATTAAAATCCATATGTCATTTTTTTTACCTTTTCATTTTCTTGTATTTTAAACCTAAAATTTAGCCACTTCAATATTTGAAAATAAGACGAATACATATTGCTTGCATACAATAAATTATCAACTATGTTCATTTATTTCATTGGAAGAAAAATTTCGCAGAAATTTTTAATTGATATTATCCTTATCACTAAATAAAGTAATTTAATATCGATAATATCCTTATCATTGAATGAAGTAAGAGGTTAATAATCATTATAAAAACAAATTGTTTTTCTTAAAATTTATTATGATAATTATTTAAAATGATTAATTTGAAATATAGTTCAAGCATTGAAGAAGTGATTTTTCAATTTTCATTTTTTCAATCCTATCATCTAAATTATTTCACAGAAATTTATAATTCATATCAAAAATATCGATAATATCCTTATCATTGAATAAAGTAAGAGATTGATAATCATTATAAAAACAAATAGTTTTTTTTTTTTAAATTTATTATGATAATTATTTGAAATGATTAATTTAAAGTATAGTTCAAGTATTGAAGAAATAATTTTTCAATTTTCATTTTTTTCAAATCTTATCATTTTAATTATTTTCAAGTTTTTAATCCTAGAAAATAATAAAATAATAATAAGTTCAAAATTTTTTGTACTTTAATAATTTAAAAAATTTTTATCACATTATAACTCAAAAAAAAAAATAAATCATAGAACTTTAATTTATTGAATTATTTCTAAATATTAATTAAATTAATCTTATTAATTTAATTTGTTTAATTTCAAATTTTCGGAATAGACGATTTTCAATTATATTTTATCACTATTACTATTGATTGCGCTATCATCTTCACGAAATGTATCAATTGTTACTTCTGTATTATTATCATAAATTAAGACAAATTTTGCATAGAAGGTAAATGTCACACCATCATTGTCTACGTGCATTTATCTACGAAACGAGCGAATGAGCGGTATTAATAATTATTAGATCAAACCATTCCATTCATTGTAGATTGTCGAAACGTTGCGGAACGGTCTGTCCAATTTCTTCTCGTATACTATTGATTTCAAATTGTTTTAAATGTTACGTTACGTGGAAAAATTAACGTCAATTAAGTTTTTTTTAATTTTAAACAAAAATTTCTCCCTTTATTTTCATCAGAATTTATGTGTATTGTAATAATTTATGGTGAAATATTTGCTTTTTATCATAAATTTTATTCAATTTACGTATAAAATACTTATTAATCGTATATTTACGTATAAATACGTGTATATTTTATACGTAAATTGAATATTTACGTATAAAATACGATTATAATGTTACGTATAAAATACGAATATAATTTACGTATAAAATACGTATTAACACGTATATATTTTACACGTAAATTGAATGAAAATGTACATGTATTTATACGTAAATATACGTATTTTATACGTAAATTAAATAAAATGTTTCAGCAGAATTGAACAGAAATTGTAATATTTTCGGGTGAACGTTATTGATAAGATGAATCAATCAGTACATCAATTTGTATGAATTTTGCTACCTTTCATTTAATTGATTATTTCATTCTTATTATAATTATTAATTAGCTAAAAAATGATCACTTCAAATATTTTCGATTAATTTTTGCCAGCTTAATTTGAAAATAAATTTAAATGAATGATATAATTAATATTAAAGGTAAAAAAATTTCAGATTTTTTTCATCAAATTTAGATAATTCGATTAATTTCCCTGAAGTTGTTATTGTTATTGCTATCTCAATTTTAGGATAAAGCCTTCTTTACTCTTAACAGTTCTATTTTCTTTTGAGATTGAAATAATTTAAAAATATTATGATAGTGAATTTATTTCCTAACATGAAATGGAAAGTTTATGAAATTCCAATTTAATAATCTCAAACAAATCATATAATCTTACTTTCAGGGACGTGAGGTGGAGGGGGAGGAGAATGAAGGAATGATTAGTGCATCATTGTCGGAATCATTGCCAAATATTCATAATACGCCGACGGTATTTTAATGCCACTGATTAAGCATAATCTACAGCTTTTTGATTATTCTTTTTCTAATTACATCTAATAATGGTTTATTCCTGTTTATTCGATAATGCTTTCTTGATTACATCGGAAAGCTGGAAATGATTATGTTAGTTAATTGTTTTAATCCGATTAAACCGTTATTCAAGGCTGTTTCATGATGATCTATTAATTTCTGCCATATTATTCGAATAATATCCTGATAATTTGGGATTATTCCGAAATGAAGAAAGGATGGTTTCCAACATTTTTTTTCCGAATTAAGAAGTGGATTTTAGGATCATGGAAATCGTGGAAACCATTCAGCGGATCGACATAAAGTATTGACTGAAGAAAGTAATAGTGCTAGCAAGATCAAAGTGAAGAAGAGCGAGACAAAGAAGTTAAAAAAAAGAGAAGTAAGGCTGATTATTAGAAACGATTGTTGTTTCGATTTGTTAAGATAAGGTTTGTCGAATTTACAAATTTCTGAAAAGAGGAAAAAACGGAAAGTATTTTTTGACTTAGAGTTCAATGAGGGAAGAAGGAAAAAGAAAGTCACAGGCTGAAATCCGTGTTACCACCATCAGTCCACCATTTCCATTAATCACTGCACCTGCGAAGTATGAAACATTGGTAAAAGGAGAAGTGGAAAAAGGTAAAGTTTAATAGCTTTATTTGATGTTTAATTATTTTTATTTTTTTAAATCAGAAAGATAAATTGTTGAGAAATGATCTTCTGATTTTCTGATTATTTATTTTCATAACACTTAGCTCAAGCTCATTTTTAAAAAATTTATCAAGATGAAGTGACTAATATCTTTTTTTCTTAGATCCGAAGGCATCACAGGTTGAAATTCATGCTACCGATATTAGTCCATCACTTCCACAAAGCAGTGTGTCAGTAAAACAGGAAATGACTCCGAAAAAAGAGACAGAAAAAAGTGAAGCATAATAATTTCATTTGATGTTTAATGGTTTTGATTATATATTTAAGCCATTGAAAAATGAAAAAATTAATTTGAAAACTAATCGCTTAATTTAAAATGATTTCTTTTGGGTAAATTTTTAGTAGTAATGATACACTAATATGAATTTCGTACTATAGAAGACGCAGAAACCGACGTGGAAACGAAATTTACACTAACCGAGTGTGCAAACTGCCAAGTTATGCGATCTGAATTAGCGGATGTTAATGCAAAGGTTATAACTTAACTTTTCACAATGGTAATACAATTTTTCATGTTTACTTTTTATTATTTTCAACTATCTGTCGGATGTTAATTTTAGGTGAACAAATATGAAACAATATTGACGGCAAATCTTGCAGCAGCAAATCGTGAGTCCGAAGTATGATCACATAATTTATTATCGCTTTGATTATGGAAGAATTTATATTAACATATAATATAGTTGCGCATTCTTTTCAAATGATTTAACATAGAACAGTATATTGTTAAGTTACCTGTGGATATTCTTTAGGAAGATGTTGATACAAAGCAAGGAAATCCAAACATTACTGAGATCGATAATGAAGAAGTTGAAAAATGGAAGGATGAATGTGTAAGTTTAAAGTTCAAACGCTACTGAGATCGATAATGCAGCATTTACACTGTTAGAAACTGTTAGAAGTTGTAGAAAAGCGTGGGATGCCATTTATTTTATATAGGATGATAATTTTATAAAACTAGGCTTTATGGGACAGTGGAGCGTTAAAAAAATTGATCCATATTTATCGTTCGTTGTATCGGAAATGTTCGTTTTTAATTACATATATTGGACTTCTTTTTGTTGCAGGAGAAGCTCACATCGACATTGCAAACTCTTCAAACGGAAACGGTGCAACAGATAAGTGCCTATCAAGTGAAATTAGGAGAGATCCTAAATGAGCGAGAAGTTATGTTGGCAAAAGTAACGAATTTTTCTATTTTACATGTTAAGTTCAAAGAATTCAAGAAAGAAAAATACTTGTCAAATTTTCAGCTAACGAAAGCTGAGGAGAAAAGCAAATCTCTGCAAGCGATGTTAAATGAACAGCGAGAAAAAAATTTTAAACTATCAAATGCTATACAGGTATGTATTGCATGTTGAGAATTGGAACAAAAATGATAATTTTTATCTTTCCATATATTGAACCACTAAACCTCATTATGATATTTGATATACCTTTATCTCTCTCATCTTAAGAAAGCTTGAATAATTACAAATAAGAGCACGACATTTTATTAAGTTTCTTGGTATGTTCAAAATTATTAGCTGTCAAGTGCAAGCATAAATTTCCTTGGTTTAACTCTTAAATTTTAATTTAGCTCAGGATTCAACTTCACTTCTACTTATCTTCTATTATCAAAAACCTGGTGATGCTGTCATGATAAAAAATTTTAGAAAATGGAATTGAAATCAGTTGAAGAACTCGAAAAACAAAAAATGGAACTAACAAAAACAGCAGAAGCGAACTTGCAAGCAACGGAACAATTGTGCCGTATCAGCGTGAATAAGGCTGCGATGTTTGAAGAAATGCTTAAGAAGTCTGAACATGAAAAAATTAAACTGCGCCGTCGTCTTGGCCTCGCCGCTGATAACCTTCAAAATGTGGAATTCGGAGAAATGGAACCGGAAGAGTTTCATCATCAATTGGAAATAAAACTAAATTCGCTCATGGAGAAGTTTAAAGCTGAATCAAAGAATCCAGATCTTGAATGGGTTGGAAAAGATAATATACAATATATTATGTGTGGTTTTGAAGAGGTTGTCAAAACCATTCTTGGAAAAGAACCTGATCTTGGAAATTTGGCTGAAAGACTTGTCTCTATGCTAGAAGAAAAAAATAAAAAGGCGGAAGTAAGCAGTTTCCCTTCATTATGTAATATTCAATAGCACATTTATGGAATACAGAATACATTTGGATTCAAACACAATATAATGAAATGAATTTTTAAAAAAATTTCAGCAGGCAGAACTGTCGAATGTTAACAAGGAAGATAACGTAGAAGCGAAAGCTTTTGGGGTATTTTTGACACATTTCCTTTTATATAACTTATGTAAAGTAAGATTTCACCACATTAAAACATTTTATAATCTTAGGATTTCAAAGCAGAAATGGGCGCGGAAATTGAATTAATGCTGGAGAAATTTCATGTCAAACAGACGGAAGAACTTAATGAAAGTATATGCAGAATCTTGAGCTGTTTGGAAAATACGGAACAGGTAATGATTACAATATCTAGTGGTGCAGCTTCACTTCTGAAATTCTGGAAGTTTGTTTCTAAAGAGAAAGACGATTAAAATGTTCGTTATAAAGAGAAATTTTAGGTTCTAAATTTTCCACTAATTATTTGCAACTGGTGAGTTTTAGCATTTATGCGGTTATAACTTAGGATATCTTTGTTTACTAATAAAGACAAGTTAACTTTAAAAAAGATTAGAATTTAATTTTTCGAAAAAAAGTTCGGGGATAGTTTTTTTTTTAGAAAGTCGATAAGGATGTCGTGAAGCGTATGGATGAACTGGGTGATCTACTTCTTATAATTGACAGTAAACAGAATGCTCTTCAAAAGACCGAAGATAGGATAATTAGCAAAATGGGAAATCTTTCTGAAGCAATCGAGAGCAACAGAGATCGATTCAATATACAGAGCGGAGATCGGAGTAGCGAAATAACAAATCTTTTGAGGGAAAAACATAATTTCAATGCGGCATTATCGTATGTTGAGCAGCTTGGTGGTGATCAATTGGTATATTTCGGCTTACTTTGATTTTCGTTGGAATTTGAAATTTGGTCTTTTTAACTCTTTCTGCTACATAATAATGACGATTTTGAATAATGAACTAAACAATAAATCAATAAATGTAGCATATACAAATATATGTTCTGATATTTTCCACTGACAAACATATGACATCTTTCAGGTGTTATTTATTAAACTAACGTTAATACTTGTTTCAGGAGCTTAAAACTAGAGTACGAAATATGGAAGCAAATTATGCGAAGCTTGCAGAAGAAATGCACACCTACCCGACACCAGAGCGACCGATTGTTCACAAAAGCATTGATTCAATTCTCCATTCAACTGAACGCAGAGATATGATGGGATGGCCGCCAGTAGAAACACATCGGGTTACACCAACACGGGTAATAGTGGTAGTTCACCACTATTTTTAATTTCTCTGAAAAATTTCGATAATCCTCAGATGCATATGTCCATCTACATGCTTCAAACTTGATATCGCTGCATCTGCGACGTCCCACAAATGGATATATTGGACGGACAGTATTATTATTCATTAGCTTGGTATATTTCAGGAAGATGAGAATCGAAGTCAGAAAAATACCCCTTATCATGAAGCAACAGGTGAAGCTGAGAAAGGTAAATAGAGAGAATTAATGTCTTAAAAAATATTCTTTCGTAGTTCTAAAGTTTAGCTCTATTTTATGCTGTTATTAGTTTGCATGATTACCTTCCCAACCCATAACAGGGTTTAGTGGGCAGTAAGATTCATTGATTCTGGTATATTTGAAACACTGTAAGTTAGATTCGAAAATCTTTCTTCATGCCTTCGTCCTTCCGTTAAAATATATTACTGAGTATCTCACTAAAGTTTTTTTTTTAATTTGTCATTTCATTCCGTTCCGAATCCAAATTTGTAGAAGGAAGCAGAATAGCAGCGAATGAACGAAAATCAAAAAGCCCAAAAAAATTATCTGAAGTGAAATTCTCAAGATGTTACCCTTGTTGAAGTGAAAATACCGCCCACGCTTTTCCGTTCGTTTTTTTTAATGAATTCTGGATGATTTGTCTTTAGCCAACACACCTGAAAATAAATTCCGTTTCCTTTATTCTACCGGTACTCAATCTGTTCTATGTAGTCATTCTGAGGAAATGCATTGATTTTTATTATGGATAATTTTCTTTTCATTATTCAGTTCAATGTATTTTTATCTTCCTTAGCAGTTTATCGTCTTTATTTTTGTCTAAATATTTGCTGTTAGTAATTACTTCAAGATCTATGTAGCATAGCTCTTTGTTGGGAATCTTCAATTTTTCTTTCTTACCTGGTACAAAATGTATTTACACCCAGCATGCATTAGTTCATTATCGTTTTGAAGAGCTCAGCTTATATCATGGATGTAAAAGATGCAGGATACGTACAAAATGATATTATAAATCTTCTTTTGTCGTTAATATCATCTGATATTCTCTTTTATGCTGTATGCCGAAAAACACCGATGAATTAGTTCATAATAGTTGACGCTGATTGCTGATTTGTTTATCTTGGCTTGTACAGATGTTATCAAGATGAAGAAACAATAAAGAGTTTATGCTATAATTTAGAAATTTTATTCTGGCGTAGAAAAATTACAAATGGAAGAATACAGACAGATGTGAGGAATCGTTTTGGCAATAATTCTTTTTCATTCTGTCATCTTTTGATTTTTATCTGGTGATGATCTGATGAGGAATCAATGATGAGCCATTGTCAAGTAATCAGTTCAAACAGGATTGATAAAATCTTATATTAAACCGAATCTCATGGCGATATTATTTTTATCATCATCTATTATGACCGAAATATTTCGTACGTAAAATTTCAACCGAAATTACAAATCCAAATTGCGATTATCACATTTTACGTAGCTTCCCAAGTTCGGTCCTAAATTCATCTTCTAGTTTTCGGACATTAGTTAGCCTTTAATTGTGGCTGTCATATTTTGATTTAAATAAATTATGGTAGAATGGAATTGAAGATGATTAAAATGAATGTGGTAGATTTATGAATATCTGCGGTAATGCATTTTTCATTCTTTTACAATTCTTGACCAATAGTTTCAGAAAAGTTACATTATAAATGTAATTTAAATGGAGCTATGAAATAAATGAAATGGAAACGAAATCTATTAGATAATTGAAAACATTTTAATTTCGTTCCAATCAAATTTTTTGGTTTATTTTAATTTTGTTTTCTAATCATTGGTAATTGGAAGTAAAGTTATCAAAATGTAGCAATTGAATATGATCAAAAGATGAGAAATAGTAAGAATAAATAATAATGGATGGATTTCTTATACATCTACCATCGTTATTTCTTGATTGATAAGTTAATGAAAATTTGGTAGGTTTGATTTTTGCATCAACTTGTAATAGCAATGATGATATATGTTAAATTATATATTATAACAAAATGAGAATGTCAAAATGAGGTATTATTGTATTATAGTACAGCAAAGATTATGTGGATTCAACTGAAATTAATAATCTAATCATAAGATCTGTTATCTTATCTATTTATCTTATCAAGCAATGAACGTCATCACTGATTATCATTTTGAAAGAAACATCTTTATCTATAATTTTGCAAATTATTAATAAACCAAAAGTTGAGCCAAAGAAAGTTAGAAGGTGGCCAAATAGAGTAAATCAAATATTTCGATCAATTTTAGGGAATAAAAATTAGCGAAGTAGTAAATTTCATCATTAAAATTTTTTGTAATAATAGCGAAATCAGCAGTTATCATTATGCTACCGCTTAAGTTGGGATGTCGTTTTTAAAGATAACAATTACAAAACTTTAATTTCATCATTTAACTTTTGCAACCTATAAGTTACCTATTATTATATTGAGTCAAAATTTTTCGTTCATTATCTTTTATCAATGAATTAGAAATGAACAAATAAGATAATTTATAAAGTACATAAAATATATTCTAAATACGATATAATTGATAAGCTATATATATATATTGATAAAAAATAAATCAATCTAATAAATAAAAAGCATCGCTAAATTTAGGAAATTTCGAAATTTTTACATAATGAAAATAATTTCATGCGATATTAATGAATAATTATCATGAATGATGCCATATCAGTGAATGAATGAATCATTCTGATAAGCAAATGAATTGAATTAAGAAAAAGACAATATGTAATCATTTCCAAATTTGTTATAAAATTATTGAAATTTTAAGGTAATTGAAATAGAAAAAATAAAGGAATGATTTACCGAAAGTGTAAAACCGAAAGTGCTTTAAACGATTGAATAAATATAAACTTTCCAAAATTTTTGTTTGATTTTAGTAGTTTAATTGAAAAATAAAATTTAATGTAAATAAAGACATAATTAAGTAAACAATTTTAAATTGATATATTTTTGAAAGATTAATTGTCTTCTTTTATGAAAGATAAAGTAACTTATGGATCAGCAACGAATGATTGAATAATGATTAAAAGTTAAGTTATATTGTTTGAATTTTATTTACTGGTACATTTTATAGTTTCATTCTTTCGATTTAATATTTCAGGAGCATAAAAGATTAAAAGAACAAAGGTTTTTCGAGATTTCTTGTATTTCGTGAAATATTATATTACAGAAGCTTTTTCAATTAAAATACTAAATTGAATTTTTTAATACTAAATTATAAAAATACTAAATTGAACTTTTTCAATTAAAATATTAAGTTGAAATTTAAACAAACATTTCATTCATAACTTCTCAATAATTTTTCAACATTTAAGAAATGCTGAAAATTTCGACTTTTGTCCATATTGTTTTATACAAAGTATTGCATTGAGAAGTTGCCAAAATGTAATATAATTTAATTACAGTTTGAAACTTTGGTAGAGGAGCAAAATTTGAATTCAATTTTACTTAACAATATACACAAATGATATGTTTGTTTACATTCAATAAATTGCTCCAATTTCAACAATTCTTCATCTTTCATTAGCCATTCCGATTTTGGTTAATTTATTATAATTCAAACTTTTACAAATATACGTATTTTATTAAAATTTCACTTCCTTTTAAATTTATAAAGTTTGGAATTGTTTAAGAATATTTGATTGTGTCTCTTTCTTTCAAGGTTTAAAAAATTATCCTAAAATGTTATATCTAACTGATAAGAATTCATATATACTGAAAGTAAAATTGTGGAAAGGATGAAATTATTCTTTCATTAATTAATTTTATTCTAACACGTTATCAAACTTCTGTAAAATGGAAGCTAATACATATATTTTAATTTGTAACAGAAATGATCATTCTGATCAATTCGATATTTTATAATGACTATAAGGGTGGTAACAAAGCTAAATATGATAGATTAAATGAAAATTGATTGAGTGATAAAATGAGGTATGACAGGACAAATGAATTATGAAATTTTTAAGTAAATCGATGCAGTAATGTTAATACATTTAATGAGCTAAGATCAGATGATTCGGAATGCATAAAGAGTATCTGATTAGCTGCACCATTATCACAGAATTATAAACAATAGGCACTACAAAGTTTTGTTTAGAAATTAAAAATTAGCTAAATTAGTGAAAGTGTTTAATGCTTTAAGTAAATTCAAAATTATATATGAACATTTTTTTTTTTCGCAGTAAATATTTTAATTTTTATTATATAGATGGCAAAAATTTTCTATCTCTTATCACTTTAGCAAATTATTCCGTCGAGAACCACGACGATTGGATAATCCATTATCACATGTTGTTAATGCTTTAGCCAATTCTCGTACAGAATTTCTTCCTTTAAATACTCTGCTTTGCTCACCGGCAATTGTATTTAATTCATACCTGAAATGTATCATAGTATCATTTTACAGAATATATGTTAAATAATTTTGAGAAATTTGCAACAGGAACGATTATCATGAGAAGGTTATCATTAATCTTATCACCATCTCTATCTTTTCCTCCCCTTAACGCTTAATATAATAAACGAATATCATCTAGTAAATTCAATCATAAATTTCCTGAATTATCATCCATTTTATTTGTTCCTATCACTTTTCATATAATTTTTTAAAAGAAAAAAGACACACACCCACACACGCCCACACACCCACACATACACACCCACACATACACACATACACACATACACACACATACACACATACATACATAATATTTTAAAATTGAAAAAAACTATGTAAATTTGAAAAAATGATGTAGTGAAAAAAGAAAGGTTAATAATATCAGGATAATTATGCTTACTCCCTCCATGAATCGGTAACTGTTACAGTAAATGTGCGAACATTTTGTAATCGATGAAGCATCAATGATGGCTCATCCACCAAATCATAACTGAAGGAATCATCAGATATAACAACAAACAAGTAATAAAAAAACAATATGATTGCTAGGAGATGATGATTGGTATATAATAACCATACCACAATCAATCTCAATGCCAACAGTTATCTTCACCAATTGATCATTGAAAATTATTTTGTTTGTCTCTGAAAACTTTTTGGGTGGTCTTGAGTAGCAATCCAAATGACTGCCAATATGCAAAGAGATACGGTAAATGAAAACTTCGTGGGTGGTCTCGAAAAAGATACAAACGATAGACATTCTATCATCAACTCATTTATTCCAACAATTTTTACAATTAAATGATCTCTATTATGTGTGTGTATATGTGTGTGGTATTATGATAATATTGGTGTTTGAAAGATATCATGTAATATCAGTAGCATTGATGGTGATAATGATGAATAATGGTAATGATAATGTAATGCTTGTTATCGTTATTGGTAATTGTTTTTGAATATTTACTTAATCCACACGTATAAATTATGGTTATATTTTTAATCTCTTTTTTTGATAAATTTGAGAGAAGCATTTTAGGATAAAAATGATTAAAATTTTGCAACATTTTTTCATCAATTTTTCCACCTTTTTTTTATAATAAGTTAAATTAGATTTTCCGATAGTATTAATAGCCTAAAAATGAAGTTTTTTCTTTTCTTTGGAATTATAAAAGCTTTAAATAACCTTCTTTTTTTCCTACAAGCTGTTTTTCTGATTTTCATTGTTTTTCGATTAAGATATAATTCTTAAATTAAGAATAAATGGATGATTAAAAATTCATCCAATTATAATTGAAGTACCAACCTGAAACCATCCGTAAGGACGACAACATTAGTAAGCATATTGGTACGTCGGTTTTGCAATAACTGCAAAGCTAATTCCAATGCTGCTCCCGTAGCAGTTATGCCGGCAAAGAAAGGTAACTCTTCAAAAAAGAATTAATTACTAAAAAATTTCGATAAAATTAAAATTTATCTTTCGCCTATGAATTGATTAAAATAGATGCTCTGATAAAGATTACTTTGTTAGAAGTTTTGAAAATCAAAGACTTTCCCCTTACTGTTATGTGAATTTATAAGAACTGAAATAAAATATTTTCATGCTTTGGTTAAGTTTCTAAAATAAAACTCACAAAAGTTTTCCATTCATTAATTAATTCAATTCGAATATAAAAATTCAAATTTCAACTTGGCAAAAATTACTTTTAACAGTTTCGACAATTTCGGTTCGATTTTTATGTACTATAAACGGTAGTTTAATTTGACGTCGTAAAGGACTGCTATATTCAATTACTGCAAACAAAAATGTGGTAAATTTAACGTTGATGATTTGTTGCCTGTGTATTAAGCATTGAAAGTATACGATGTAAAACTTTAAATGAGTTGAAATCATTCCTTTTTTAAAATTAAAAATTTGAAGAAATGTTTTAAAACTAATTTTCGCTTTAAATTAAAATGTAAGCTTTTTTTAATTTAAAAAAAAAAAATTATAAAGGTAAAAGAATCCTTTCAATATCGAATAAATTTTTGCTATCAAAATGATCTGTTAATAAGCTATAAAAAGTTTAGATAAATGTAATATAAATACATCCAATCCTTGCTTCATTGTCAAATTCGGGAAGAATCAAATTGATGATTTCAGCAATGTAATTACGATGTTCCTCAAAGAATTGCCTTACTGAGCTGGTTGAATCTACCACAAAAAGCGTGTCAGATATGCAATCTGAAGTAAAAAAATGATATTGATTATATTATTTCAACTGTTACTTTGTTTTTTCCCGAATTTTATTTAACAAATTGGAGGTTTTGAATTACTGAAATATGATAACTGAAATATGAATTGAATACGATTATCTTGAGATCGAGTATCAGTTTAATCTCTATGATTTAAATACAACTATGCCAAAATGTCATCTTAATATATAATTAATCCAAATTCTAAATTAATTCACGAGCAATGATTTGAAGAGTTAACAGGTTTGCTATTGCGACAAAACAGTATAATCCAATCGTTCACCTGAAGATTGGATCGGTCGATTTTGTGGTCTCCTTGATACAGTAGACGACGATGGCAAACGAGTTGTTCTAGATGTTTTACTCTGAAAATCTAGGATTTAATTAGATCAATGTATAAGGATATCAATGTATAAGGATTATTCATTTATCTCTCTTATTTTACGGCATTGTTAACAGACAGAATTTATGATTTCTCGCTGTATTCGGTGTTTTAATTGCGTAATAATTAACTTATTAAACTATTCCAGAATATCCGGAAATTAAGTAATATCCGGAAACCATTAAATTTCTATAAACTTTTTCCAGAATATATCTGATATAATTTCAATCAGTTCCTGCAGTGATAATTTTATACAAAAAACCAATGAGCACTTAATTAATCGGGTTACCGTTTGATTTCGAGTTATTCTGCTGGTTATTTGCACAGTACGTGATGTTTTCGGTTGTTGTGTCACGACTAATTCAGGTCTTTTTGAAATGAAAGTAATCCGAGGATGTTGTGTGGTTACTGATCGACTTGTTGTTTGACGCGTGGTTCTTGGAGTTGATGATCGAGTTGGAAGTTTTGACGATTGAGGTTTTGACGATAAAACCGTTGTTGTACGTTGTTTAAATTGTGAAACTTTGGATGATGGTTGTCTGCTTATTTGGTGGACAGTTGATTGAGTTACTGTTACCGATGTTGTTTGACTTTCCACCGGTGAGCCACAAGTTACGTTTTCAACGAAGTGAGGTAGTTGTATAGGTGGCGATGATTGACTTTCAAGTTGAGTGACCTGTTTGTTACCATTTTCGTAGGAGTTTTCTGAACTCGAAGAAGGTTTGTTTGAATAAGAGATTTCTTCGAGATCATTCGATGGATAATTTGACGGTGGCATCGGAGCTGGCGGTTCCACTTCACCATATTGTGCATTACAGACCTTTAAGTGAAGTGATTTAATACTAAAATTAACAGCTTCAAAATATGCTCAAATTTTAAATATATATGTATATTCATATTTACATATCTATATCTATTATATTACATCTCATTTCATTTCATTTATCTCTTTCCTATTTTATTGTTTTAAAATTAAAAAATATATTAAGAAATGCTAATTTTTTTTTAGGAAGATAAATTTAAGTTTATTATTAAGAAAATGTTTGAAAGAGGAAAAAGAAACCGAAAGAAGGAGGAAAGAAGAGATTAATGAGAAAGTAAACAAATTGTTTACAGCAACTTACAGTAATTAGTCCAATAATTAATAGGATTTGGATCATTCGACGCTGCTGCAATTTCAATTGTTGCATATTGGAATTTATTCAATTTAAATTAATTTCTTTTTATGAAATTATATATTATAAACAGAATTATTCGAAAATTCAGTAGAAATGTTAAATCATCTATTGGTAGAGTAGTAATCTGATGGCGGATATGATTAATCAGTCAGTCTGTCAAGGCTAATAGATAGTACTATGGTACTACGATTGATATCATAGTATCAATCCGTAATTCTTTTAATCAATCATCTTATTAAGCCATTTAATAAATTACTTTAATCAAAAATTTAGAATTTTCACCTAATTTTCTATTTGATATATTTAACTATCTGATCATAAGATTACAACATTATGGCAAATTAAGTTCCATTTCATCGTTTAATGGATGCTTAATGGATTTTTTAGAATTTGAATAATTCAACTTTCCTTTTCTTTTTATTTAATGAAAAATTTTTGATTGAACTTCTACTTTTCGAAAGCGAAATTGTATGATGAATTTTTTAAAAACAAAAATTAAATATTTCATCAAAAATAAAAGGGAAAATGGCTGGCAAGAAGATAGAAGGAGGGAGTAAGGGGAGGGGGGGGGAAAAAGTAGGAGATGAGGAAGGGGAAATTGAAAAAAATAATATGAATTAAGTGAGAAACAAGGATAAGAAGAAGATTTCAAACTTTTTCGCAAAAAAAGAAAAAAACGAAAATATAAAAAATGGGGACAATGCAAAAATACAACTGACCAGAAGTTACGAAAACTGGATGAATAAATCAGGTGTATGTGAATGAAAGACGTATCATTGACTACTTTTACAAACAGATACCTATATTGTAATATCTTTTTTGTATAAATATATATATATGTGTAGGCGTAGTATGTATGTATGTGCGTATCGGGAGTTCCTTTCAAATGGCCTAAAAATGACATTTCGTTCTTTCATCAAGTTCATCACTTTTCTTTACAAGTCAAGTAAATGTATGAAAATAAAAGGAAGGTAAAAAAAAAGAAAGAAAACAAGAAAAATAGGAAAATCCCTAAATAAGAACTTGCATATTTCCCGTATCGAATCTGACTGACAGCATACAAATTAATTACCTATATTTCAATCAATTTTCTTTTTTTTTTTTTTGAAGTTTCAAAGACTGTAAATTAAGAATGGATAAAATTTACAAACATTTTTAGGATTAAATTTGAATGATTCATTCGAAGATAGTGGTAAAAGGAAAAATTATTACGATTAGTAAAAAAAATTGCCAGCATTTGATATAATAAAAACGATAAATTCCTCTAGTATCGATTATCTTTTACTCATTTTTCTTGTGCAGTAATTTAAATTTAATAATTTAAATATTTTGACAATATTTATCTTTATCATAATTTTTAAATCTAGATAGAAAATAATATTTATTAAGATTTTATTTCAATTATTCATTCTAAACAATATTGCTATCTGATTTAATCTATTCTTTACAGTTATAAGTTTCTTTCAAGTCAAGAGTGCAGTAATTGCTGATATTGAATGAAAGTAACACAATAAGCCAGAAAATAGGAACAATGAAATATTGATAAACGTTTCAATAACTTTGTAAATTTTTGAATAATTTCTATTTGCTTTCATTTAAATCATCGTATCAGAATATCATATAAATAATGTTATCAGTTTATTAACGATCTGATTTCAATTTCATGATTGTTGAAATTTCCACAAGATTTCCAAAAACCGCAAAACTCCGCTAATCATAGGTTTAATCTCTTGGTGTTAAATAAACTTAATCAGAATTAAGTGAACACCACATATCAGTGAACCCTAACCATCCAGGGAAGGATAGCTATTGCGGTACTGGAAGAAATCAAAAAACAAAATGAAGCATCTTGTTTCCGAATAACAGTAGCGCATCACAGTACAACTTGCAAAATTGTGGTACAACAGTTACTACCCAGTCGGGATTTGATGACTGCATCCATAACCCTTACGTCCCTATAGATGTGACCTTCTGAGTCATTTTACCAAGATTCATTTTACGTCATATTAATGATGACCTGAAAATACTGATCAACTAATTCCAAAATAATTTATATGTTTGTTGGATTAAGATCAGACAAGCAACGGATGCATTTCTACAGAACCAGTTGAACTGGCCCGAAAGCTATTGAAAAAATACATGAAAGGCTCAATGCGGTTGTAGCAGAAAGTTTGGAATCTGAACTCGGATTAAAACAGTTGATAATTAAACAACTTTACTGATAGTCATAGTTCCGTCTGTGAACTACACACATGCATTTCCATTGCATAAGTAAGAGACTAAAACTACCAAAACAAACAAGAAAATTTAGAATTAAATAAAGAACATGTAAATAATGGGACATATCTTCCTTTCAAAAAAAAATTTTTCAGCAAATTACTCAGAAAATGCAAAATTAATTGTCTATCGTTCGGAATTGGATTTTGAAAACTTTTAATAAAAATATAAATCTTTAATAGGTGGTTCACTCACATTGCATTCATCGAAATGCATTTGCAAACCTAGGATGGATTGGAATTACTACTCAGAATTCTTGCCAACAGTAGAATACCTGTTACATCTTTTTTTTCAACGTTTCCAAGGATATATGAATCGAAATTATAAGGTTAAAAATAATATAAACAAGTGTCGCTTCTAATCAAATCATTTGGAATTACAGCTTGCTGATAAAGCTACTATCACAGAATACAACGGACAATAAGTGCAATACCAGAGGCAGTACTGGAACTCACACTGCTGGAATCATTTCACAATTAGAGATTTTCAAATATACATATAAATAAATTACTAACTGCATTAAATCTGGTGGAAATAAACATCTGAGGTGCAAGTGAGAAAATCCATAAATTTACATTGTACACGGATTCTTACCATTAAAGCATAACACATAAACGCAAAACTTGTTTCAAAAACTGAAAGCAGTTCAACAACAATTCCAAAAGTTGCATCTACAACCTCTAGCTTTTGTTGAAAGTCTACACCGTCGTTCATGGTAGAAAAACAGCTTCTAGTACATACAATATAGATTACAACGTAATGAAATGCGTCTTGAGACCTGACATCTAAGACTGTGTCATTTATTATCAAAAGGTAAAGAGCACTGCTGTCAACTCTGAGAAGACAAACTATTTCAATATGTAAAAGTAAAAACCAAATAAATTGATATTTCACATAAAAAGTTCCCAAAAACAATATCCGAAAATTTTAAACCATTAAATATTACTGATCGGACTTCACTTCTAAATTACCTAAATCAAAAGTGAGAATTGGTCGACGAGGTCGTTCCATAAGCAAATCTAAAATATCCATTTACTGAAAATTATCCAACAAATATTTGAGTTAACGAAATTTTATTTCACGCTAATGAAATAAACAAGAAAATTTCTTCTAGAAAATTAGTGAATTTCTTGAAAATTGTGTTTAGTTACCTACCATCAAGGACTGTCGACCATGGAAGTGTGATGTATGTCAGGAATGCATTCAATGGAGTGCTTTCAGCCCTTCGCTTCTCTCGAAGCCAATGCCATGCTTGGCCAAAGCCTCGAACTGACCACAGACGACTCATCACGCCCTCATTTAGCACTATATAAATAAACAGAATTATAACCTCTAAACTGTGTCAGTTTTATGGCAGGAACACCTGAAAACTTAAATCTGGAAAAAGTAATACGGGATGGAACACTTACTTGTGTGATTTGGCAAAAATACGGCAAAAAAATTAATGTCCTTAAAAAATCGGACTTTTGATTTAAAATGACAATTACACAAAATTTCACTAATCCGTACCATCGTCGATACTGCTAGCTTCAACTTCTCGACATTGATTCAGAGTGTCTGTTTCACTTTGCCAGCGTCGTCCTTTACTGGCATCATGCTCATTTGATAATCCAGACGTTACCATCAGTCGTTGTGGATAATGACTTAAATTCGTATCAGACATGCGTCGTATCCCACACTGCCCTAGCTTAAAATATATGAATTTATGGATAAGTCCCCATAAAAATTTTATAACATCTGGAGAAATGATGTTTTAGCAAAATAAGTCCAAATGAAGTGTCCTCGAAATCACCAAATTTATATGCAAATTTAAAAAATTTTTTGACAGCATATCAAAATAATTGGAAACTTACACCATCAAAGCTCAATATTTGTTCTGAAACAGGAGTTTCGTAGCCACAGTTTGGCAGACGCATGACCGCCATTTCTGCATATCCTAAATAGCATCGTTAATATAAAAATTGTTTGGAATGAGACTGGATCATTTTTTGACTATGACACATGCTTAAGAATGGCAGCAGGTGAGAATAATGAATGTTTGATAGGCTTGTAATTTTAAGCAAAGTATTTCACAAGTTTATAGCAAGCACAATGTAATGTAAAGTACAATAAACGAATAAGAGCAGCATGCCTTTCCCATGTGGTCCTCTCATTCGAACGAATTCACGGCGTCGCTGATTCGGTGTGATGAACTTCTGTGTCCACTGCCACGAGAAAGATGCCTAAATACAAACTGAAACTTCTTTTTCATTCAACCAGTACAAATCAAAAATGTGATAGTCAACAGAACCAACAAATATTGAAGAAAAGTTCCAGCATACCCGTGCATCGTACGCTTGCTTCAGAACTTCGTATCGAATTGAACCGAGAAAGATAACCGCTTCGCTATTTTTGCATCTATCCTTCGCTACCAGTTCAACGCAAACGCATTCACCATCACGAACAACTACATCACTAAAGATCTGAAAATGATGTGGAAATCAATGTGGAAGATATGTACAAATATGACAAGAAATGGAAATCCATTCTCTGAATTTCATAAAATTAGCGAACTTAAAAGTTTGGGAAAATGGTCAAAGAGAAGCAAACCTGCTCAAAGTTATCTATCGCAAAATAGATTTTTGGATAAGTGATTTCTTCGCATTCACCCTTGCTATCCATCCTTCGTTTACTTGGTGATGGGTATACTCGCTGAAAATTGGTTGTTTAATTAGCCTCTATGCGAAATTATGCAAGCAGCGCATGCTTCTTCAGAACAAAAACTCTGTATAAAGATTTAAATTAAGATATACTTACAATATAAAAATGCAGAAGAAAATCTTACTTGACAATTTTTACGCAAAATTTGCAAATTCTGTGGGCTAGTTTTAATACAAACGGCACAAGTAACTTGGAAATCCAACTGAAATGTATCTTTTCAAATTCTGCAGAAACTATTTTTTCTTCTAAACTGATCAACTTAATTTTCGACACTAAAAACTGATCATTTATAGACTTTTAAGAAACATGGATGTTAGTTGCAAATACTCCCAATTCTATACCCATACACAGATGTAGATTTTCCTTAACGTAATCGAATATAGTTTTATTACACAAGAAATAAGCTCCCTCCTACTGCCATAAAAGAGTATCTTTTTTCAGATTAGTATGTGTAACATTTCGGTAAAATGCACCTGTTGAAGGATGAGGTTTAAACAAACTGTTTCTTCCCAGTTTATCGAAGGATCATTGAGTACGGGTTTATTTGGACTTTGACGTCTGTATACTAGAAGCTGGCTTCCCTAAACGAAAATTGAACATTATATCTACAACGCAAGTGTAGAAATAATCATTTTCATACTTTTTGCAAAATTCTTTGGCTATCAATTGGCAGAACAAACAAGATACCAACAACAAAAAAATGAATAAATAAATAGAATATAATTAAAAAAAAACTTTACTTCCTCAAAAAAACATGTGATACGACTCACAGGTGATATGACGAGTAAATTAGTATTCCTGTTAAACTAGCACTACTGCATCAACTCAGTCATACTTATATTTCAGCTCGTTTCGAATTAAGAGAAAAAAGTCACATAAAACTTACTTCCTGACCAATGCAAAAGTCTCGACTGATTTGCTGCATAGATACATACCAAAGCATATCATCGCTGTGTGCAGCACAGTTTTTCGCATTGCAGTAAGCGTTTCCAGCAATAAAATCGGCAAAAAGTTTGCACCACTTCCGTTCATGACTTGAGATAACTTCGAAACCTTTATCTGCAACTGCGAAATAAATCATATAAGACAAATAATATTGGTTCTTGATTGACCTTGCCATTCGACACGCCGACTAGAAAGTAATCCCGCATATCAGGTTTACTAGCATTTTTTTTTCGTTTACTGACATGATAACGGTGCCTCCCTTTTCTCATTACATCGTTTAGCATCCTTACATGCATCTACAACAAAAAAATACATTAGAATGACATCTGCGTCTTCGTTGATCATTTTAGAAAGAAAAACAAGCATTGAAAACCAGATAAAGAAATAGCAATACCACTTCTATAAAATCTATTTCATATTTTTGGTAACTTTGTCTTTCTTTAAATTTCAACAATTTCGATTCCTAACATCCTTAACATTCCATTAAATGTCATCTTTCATATATTGCGGCAAAAATTAGAATTCTACTATTAGTTTAATTATGAAACACACAAATCAAGCTATTTTTATCAATAAATTAAAATACTTGATATTAAAAAACATATGATTGCATTCGAGAAGTGGTGAATATTGACATTTCTCAGAAAACAAATCAAACTAACCAAAGGTAAACTGATTTTGCCTCAAACTAGAAATTCTTTTTAGAAGCTCGTTAAATGAACTGCAATTACTGGAAGTTGATGTTTTAAGCGTACTTTTCAACACATCACATTCTTCATTCATGGATTAATTCCTGAAACGCAAATTCTGAATTGCTGATAGAAGGAGATCTTGAAACATCCACGAAATCACAGATGTACATAAGTATCTTTTTCCTCAAATATTTCTGAGTTAATGATGAAATTTAAGGCTTTTGAATGGATGAAGCTAAATGCGGCCCTCTTTTGGATTATCTCTATTCGCTTCAGTAACTATATTCTCAGCCCCTGCCATAGCATTCTCTCATTTCCTCATTTCGGTCTCTACTTGCTAATTTAGCCGTAACTATTATTAAATTCCGTAACACACAAAAACAAAAAAATTCTGTCAAGACCGGCTGAACAATAAAATCAAAAAAATACGATAAATATTCACAAAACGCTTAATTCGAACTTACCGTATTTAGTGAAGTGTCAAAATGAAATAATAATGTCCCTGTCGTTCATGTTCAAATCGAAACAATTTGTCTTGTTTAGGCTTAGGAATAAATTAGAATCGGAACTGTCGAAATGGGTTTTTAATTTCACACATCAATTTTTAGGAATTATGGAGTTACGGATCAATCTTATTTGCTATATATACGTAAAATTTTAATTTCATTAAGATTTCAATATGAAAAAAAAATGCATGTCTCATGATTAATTGAATGCAAATAGTCATTTTCCCCCGATAATTTAAGTAAGCTTCTAAGATGTTTGAGAAAAACTTATCGAAGACTTAGGAGTAAACAACGTTTGAAATACAAATGTAAATCGAAGATTGAGAAGAAGAAAAAAGAATGCAGTTTCAGGCTTAGGTCAATTATTCAACATTGTTGTTATTTTTGTTCGACATTATGGTTCTTCAGGCGATCGCTCATTTATTTTATGATTTTCAACTCAACATTTTTTCAATATCAATCACTTAGGCATTATTTTGTACAAGCATTAAATTAACTTAGTTTTTCAACAATTAGCAATAGTTCTCAAAAATAATAAATCCAAATAGCTATTTTTCTAATTAAAAAACAAGCCATCTTTGACAGCTTCGATTCGGATAGAATTTACACATCAATTTTCGCACTAATTGATTGTAATGCAGAATTACATTATACAATGAGCAATAAAATGAGAGAGAGAGAAAGAGGGAGAAGAGCACTGATATTGTGTTTGATAATAGATATACTCTTAAATGTTTGGTATTCGAAATTCTTGCAACTTAATCAAAAATTCTGGACTAAAATGTATAAGAATCAACCGGAAAGGATTATTTTAAAATATTTGAGAGAGGCCATTCCTGACAGATGGATATGGTCGTGTGAATTTGAAAGAGTCCTTGGACACATTATTTGCGTTATTGGCAGTAATTCGTTATTGTTCATTAATGTCTGTTGTTTTTTTCCCTTGGTCGTTGAACGGTCAGGTATGTAGCAGATATATAACAGTGTTGTTGTCTTGTTGCTACGGATATTCGGTATTTTAAGAAAAGTGGTAGAATTGGTCCCATTTACAAGCAGAGAAATCTCTGCGATATTTATGCTTTCAGTTATCATATCAGTGCTCATTTTGCATTGAATTTGTGGAAGGATCGGTAGGTATGTAAAATGAAATTTATTATTTATTCCTGTAAATATGTTGAAATTTTCCTTTTTTTTTTCATCAATTTGCTAATGGTGAAGTAATTATGCTTGATCTCTGATCAGCATTGTCTTTCCAAATAACCTTTTCTCCCGGTATTTTTGATTGCTGATAAAGCGAAATCCTTCTAAAGTTACTAGTGATGATAATCAGATATAAATGCTTGATTTAGTTAAATTTTTTGAATCGTAATTGCAATTATCATGAAAGTCTCAATCAATGTCTATTCACTGAGTTGATAATTTTCTATAAAATTATCATTTTTTATCTAATACAGTTTCGTAATTCTTAAGCATAAAAATTTTAAGCATAATTTTGATTTCAGTTTAAATTTCAAAACATAACAATGAATCCATAGAGATGCAATATATCGCTCTCCAAACAACAAAACTATCCATATAGTTTATGAAAAAAAAAAATTGTCGAAAAATTCTTCAAGACAAAAAATTCCTTTTACATCAGTTTTGGTTAATTTAATTTATATTTTATTAACTGAAGAAGCATAGATCAATAATCAATGGATTATAAAAAGATGTGATATGAGTGATAATTTTACAAAGACTGATAAAACGAAAGATAAATTTTCAATTAAATGCATGTAAAAACGATTAGCAATGGTTTATTTAGTCTCAGGGTAAGTGTCATTCAATGATAGTTGGAGGCGGAAAAGTATGGAAAAAGAAGTGAGATGGAAAAGAGTGCGCTTAGGCTGGAATGAAAGGTGGAGTTCCAGTGAATATGGATGAATTGTAACTAAAACACTCCCACAATAATTTTCATAAGATTATTTAAAAAGTAATATATCCGCAATATCGTTTCATCAAATAGACCGTGATATTGAAGATAGCAATGACCTGTATTCCATTTGTCTTCAATGCCTTCATTGAAGTACTTTTGGTTATGGTTTTAGTTCCTCATGTGCTACCATTACCGTTAGCAGGCTATCCTCCTGTGCATGATTCATTATATGATGTAGGTTATATTTTTCTCTTATAAAATTCTAATTCAAAATTTCATCGCTCTTTCTTTTGTCTTTTTTTCTTTTTGTTTAATAAAACTTGTAGGTGTTTTTAAATTTATCCTATGATGAAAAATTTAAATAATACCTACTTGTACTTGTTAAGTCTATTAATGAATTCTTGTTTTAAAATTTCCATACTATTTTTGTTCCTTTAACACCAGAATGAGAAAGATTTGATTATCAAAAGTGCTATCATTTTCTCTGTTCTAGAAAGATCTGAGGTATTTTATCATCCATTCTGTGATTAGCAACATTTAAGTCTTCTTTTCTTTGTTATAATTTGAAATAATTGTTAAAGTTGAAATTAGAAAAGAAGTAAGATGTAAAATATAATTAGCAAATATTTGGTACTCATCATAAAATCTCTCTTGATAATTTAAGTCTTCCTAAATTTTCTAATGTAAATCTTATAAGGAATAAAATTGATAAAGAAAAAATTGATAAACAAAGATGATAATTTAAAGGGATTCTTTTCATCTTCTACATTTTTTAAATCTTACGAAAATGCTTCATATCGAAAATGTCTCCACATGTATCCAAGAAATGTATTCTAGGTAAGATAAAGAAAAAGGTGTTTTGAAGTATGGCATAGAATCATTTTATGAGATTTTCAAAACCTTAGAATTATGTAGAAAAAAAAGAATTCATGTTCACTTGTTATTATTGAAAATTATAAAATAAATTTTTGAACTTCTTCTACATTTAAGTATTAGTTGCATCATTTAAATTGTAGTATTCAACTATAATTAAAATTAGTATTTCGTTTAAGAACCGATATGTTTCCATTTATTGATTTAGGATACCTTATGAAAAGACAAATGGAAAACTTTTTTTCGTAACAACAAAGAATTAGTAAAATGGATAGTATGGATAAAAAGAAAATAAGGATGTATCATCGTTTGAATTTACTGCAATAGTGATATCATCGTTTTAAAACTTATAATCTTTTAATAGATACAACGAAAATCTCAAAGTAGAAATGAAAGAAATCCAATAACTAATTTAATATTTATTAATTCGAATAATTTGAACTTTTTCCAGGAACCACCATTGGTTGATTGCAACTTTATGTCATGTTCAGGTATAATTTTTATCATCACTATAATAATATATTAAAATGTTTCAATACTAAATATTAAATAATAATATATTAAATATTAAAATGATTCAAAAATATCCTTATCTATCAAAGAATTCTAACGATCAATTTTGTACAGAATAAATATAAACGGGTGAAATTCTATCATTTGTCTTCAAATTCATACTATCATTACTTTCTGCTCTTTTTTCATTTTCATTTTGTCTTTCTTCTATATTTCATTAAATACTTTTGAATTAAAAATTAAATAGAATCCAATATGAAAGTTGCATAATCAAATTTTAGCTTTAGGAAAAATTCTTTTTAATTTAAAGAAAAAATTTTTTTTAAAACTTTTGAAAATTTTTCAATCGAAGGAAGCTAAAAATGCATTACAAGCATACCTGATACAACCTAAATGTCTAAAAACAAAGACTAAATCTAATTATTTTCTTTTAAACAATAGCAGGTATAGTATTTTGAAATTGACTTGTTTATCTTCAAATATAGAAAGAATAATATCATGATAGCAATTTAAATAAAATTTTTTTCTTTTAAGAATAGAAAGCAACAACAAATTTCGCATCATTCAAATACGGATTTTTAGAATAATCGAACAATATATTTTTGTGTTTTGATATTTGCTTAATTAATTTTAAATTAAAATTTAATTTTCATTTTCTTGTAGGAATGTGGACTAATGATGATTTAATGAAGGAGCTATTTCGAGCTGATAAACGCAAAAACGAATTTATTCGCTTCGGAAAACGAAATGATTTCATGAAGTATGATGCTTTGTTGTGTTATATCGTTTTTCTTTCGGAATTTAAATATGAATTTAAGTGAATTATTTTTTTGAAATTTAAATGAATTACTTTCTTGTAAATTACTTTTCAGTATAAGTCGAATTTCACTGCAATATAAAGTTTTTGTTTTTTACGAAATTCAAAATTTCAACACTTCTCATTCAAATCAATTATGACCAAATCATTGAATGATTATTAAATATTTACGTGAATATTTACGTATTACGTCGTGATATACGTCGTACCAGTACTAAAATTTTTTACTTCACTATCATTAAGATTACTATCATATTTGCTTTGGAAAAAGAAATGGCAAATGATTTCCAGTCATTTGTAATCATATAAATATATTTCACAATTATAATAAATGATTTGAAAAAAAATTTATGATTTTAAATTAAATTCAAATAACATCAAATTCAAATAATTTTAAATCAAATTTAAATAACATCAAATTTAAATAATAAATCATAATTTATTTGCAGTTTTAACAAACGAAAGAA